CAGGAGGGGGGAAAGGCGGGGGGTGCGGAGAAGGGCACGCACACTTACATTGATCTGTCTCTCACAAATATCTTTAGCCTCCTTCAGTGCGATGAGAACAAAAGCTGTGAGGGACACATCTTTCTCCTCAGCATGTCTGTAGCCACCCTAGGGTGTGGAGCAGGAAATAAGGATTCGGTAACCCGTGTGCCCCTCATGCCAACCATGCCCCCTGTAGGATCAGCGGGGCAGGGCAGGGGTAGCTCTCTCCCCAGTGTCTCACAGGACGGCCATATCTAGTATCCATTCATTCACTCACTCATTCTGTAAATGTTGCTGGTGTTGTGGGTAAGATGGCTCCAGCCCTCATGGAGCTCCCCATCTCATAGGGGGAACAGGCATGAACCAATCAGCTCATCACAGATCCATCATTACAAACTGACGAGTGTTGCACATTGAGAATGGATAGCGAGGGGTGTCTTGGTCAGGGCAGTTGGAAAGGTGTCCCCAAGGGATGACAGGTGGAGCCACAATCTGAAGAGTGAGTAGGACTCAACTGTCAAAGAGGGCAATGGTAACATGCCAGACAGTGGGAACAACATGTGCAAAGGCCCTGTGCACAGGAGCAAGGCTCCAGGCAGTACAGATGGAGTTGGGAGAGGGAAGGCTATGAGGCTGGAAGCCAAAAGGCCAGGCTGACGCTGTGGTTCGCTCACTTGGGCACACGTCAGCATTACCTGGAGTTGGGGGCTTATTAAAACCCCAATTCCTAGGCCCCACCCCAAAGTTTCTGATTAGTGCATGTGGATCCAGCCCAAGAATGTCCATTTCTAACAAACTTGCAGCTGATGCTGGCGCTTTTGGCCTGGAGACCAGAGTTTGAAAACCACAATTCTAAGGACCTCTCAGGTTTTTTTCAAAGCAATGGGGGGCTAGGGAACATTCATTTTGCACTGGACCCTGAGGTCTCTGGTTATTGCAAACGAGAAGTGACATTCGTGGCTCCTTTATTTTTCTGTCCAACCCACGCTGGGAATTGGGCAAATGGCAGATGGAGCCTGTCTCCTGTCCATGCGGGGGCACTCAGGCATTCCTCTCCCCCAGCCTGCCCTGAATCTGGCCTCTTACAGTCATTAATTGGGATATCACAGGCCCATCCTCCTGAAAGACTCCATCAGGCCTCTGCTTCTCCAGGATCAGCCACTTGACAGCTCCACAGATGACTTCAGAGTCGATGGCAATGAGGTTGGTGGCCAGAGAGAAGACCTTGACCACGTAGGCTGTCAACCTGGGGTGGGCACAGAGCCAATTGGCTCTGGGATCCAGAGACTGCCATCCCAGCCAAGCAAGGAGCAGAGAGGGCCAGGGCCTGCTCAGGTGTGCCCAGTTTCCTGGGCCAGGTCTCAGGACCCAATGTTGCCTGTAGGCAGTGCTTAGTGATGGTAGGTCACTCAGCTAGTGGGCACCTTGACTCTGAAGGTGGAGGGGTCCAGAGGCACAGGGCTGTGTGTGGGGGGGAGGCCAGCCTAGATCACCCCAGGCCAGGGCCCAGGCTCTGCTCAAAGGGGTGCAGGGCCAAGGATGGGCAGGCTCACCAGGTGCTGGAGTTCATATCCAGGAAGGCCGCCAAAGGCCTTTTGGGTTGCCTGAAGGCCAGTTGCTGCGTGTAACCTGCAAGGAAGAGAGAAGTGTCACTGGGGGAGCGAGGGCTGAGTGGAGGCAGTGGCTGGTGTGGGTATGCCAGGAAGGAGAGAGGCTTAGAGAGAAACAAGGATTCTGTGAAGTGGGGAAGGGGAGGTTCAGAGAGGAAAGAGGGGGCTCAGGACCAGGAGGAATGTCTGGAGAGGAGGGGAGCTTATAGGGTGCAGGGACTCTGAAAACGTTCAGGAAAGAGTGAGGAGGGGTAAGGGCTTCTCAGAGGAGAGGGGGTTCAGAGAGAGAAGGGCTCTCAGGGGGGTTCATTGGGAGAGGGAACTCAGAGGGACCAGGGTCTCAAAGAGGGAATAGCGGGAGGTCTCAGAGAAGGGGCGGGGCCTCAGAGGAGGAAGGAGCTCAGAGAGGGGCCTCAGAGTGGGGGCCTCCAATAGGGGAAGGGGACATACCCTTCTTGATGAGATCCAGGGCCTCCTGCCGCTTGTCAATGCCAAACTTGTCCCACTGCTCAGTGTGGTCCAGGTAGTGCACCGCGATGACCGTGGGCGTCATGTGGATCATGTTCTGCTCTCCACAGCCCCCGGGGGTCACAATGAGGTGTTTCAGCCGCTGCCCATCAATGGCGTCCTCTGCCATTTGGGCCACTGGGGTCCCTGCAGCCAGGAGGAAGGATGGCGTTCAAGCAACCAGACCCTCTGTGGGGTGATGAGGGTCGGGGCTGCCCCCAGCCTTCCCAGGCTCCAACCATCCAGGGCCTAAGAGTCAGGGACAGTGGAGGCATGTGGATGAAGGGGGCCATGTGGGTTATCCCTGGGTCCTCATGTGCCACAAGTGGTAAAATAATTCCAGGAACAATGGTCATGAATACGTCTATCATGCTTAATGCCATTTGCCAAGCTCCCTTCTAAGAGAACACTATATAGCATCTCATTTAATTTTCCCAACAGCCCTCGAAACAGGTACCGCTATTTGCCTTCATCACAGATCAGGAAACCAAGAGTTTCTATCCCAAACCTAAGAGCTCAGAGGTTGCAAGGGGCTTTGCTAGCTCCTTCCTGTGCCTTCTCCTCCCAGTCCTCCATCCTGGGCAATTAGTTCCAGAATTTCTGTTTTTGAACTCTATCACTTCTCATTGAAGCTTCTTTAGCAGCAGAAGCTAAGTACTGCCTGGAGCCTTCTGTGAGCATTCAGGAAAGAGTGAGGAGGGGTAAGGGCTTCTCAGAGGAGAGGGGGTTCAGAGAGAGAAGGGCTCTCAGGGGGGTTCATTGGGAGAGGGAACTCAGAGGGACCAGGGTCTCAAAGAGGGAATAGCGGGAGGTCTCAGAGAAGGGGCGGGGCCTCAGAGGAGGAAGGAGCTCAGAGAGGGGCCTCAGAGTGGGGGCCTCCAATAGGGGAAGGGGTCATACCCTTCTTGATGAGATCCACGGCTTCCTGCCGCTTGCCAATGCCAAGCTTCTCCCACTGCTCAGAGTGGTCCAGGTAGTGCACCGCGATGACAGTGGGCGTCATGTGGATCATGTTCTGCTCTCCACAGCCCCCGGGGGTCACAATGAGGTGCCCCAGCTGCTGCCCATCAATGGGTCCTCTGCCATTTGGGCCACTGGGGTCCCTGCAGCCAGGAGGAAGGATGGCGTTCAAGCAACCAGACCCTCTGTGGGGTGATGAGGGTCGGGGCTGCCCCCAGCCTTCCCAGGCTCCAACCATCCAGGGCCTAAGAGTCAGGGACAGTGGAGGCATGTGGATGAAGGGGGCCATGTGGGTTATCCCTGGGTCCTCATGTGCCACAAGTGGTAAAATAATTCCAGGAACAATGGTCATGAATACGTCTGTCATGCTTAATGCCATTTGCCAAATTCCCTTCCAAGAGAACACTATATAGCATCTCATTTAATTTTTCCAACAACCCTTGAAACAGGTACCACTATTTGCCTTCATCACAGAACAGGAAACCAAGAGTCTCTGTCCCAAACCTAAGAGTTCAGAGGTTGCAAGGGGCTTTGCTAGCTCCTTCCTGTGCCTTCTCCTCCCAGTCCTCCATCCTGGGCAATTCGTTCCAGAATTTCTGTTCTTGAACTCTATCACTTCTCATTGAAGCTTCTTTAGCAGCAGAAGCTAAGTACTGCCTGGAGCCTTCTGTGAGCACTAGGAGAGGCTGTTCTAGCACATGAGAAGGAGGGAGGTGCCATGGTTCAATATTCCGGAAGTGATGGAACTGGACACCCTCTTCGGGGGACATGGCTCCCACACCTTCCTGGGCCCCATGTGCTTGGACCAAGGCCATCTCACCCTGCAGGAGGATCCTG